TCTTTCTTTGCGTGAACATTTGGGCGGCGTTATGCAAATCTTCCCACATCGTGACATAGACATGTGGGGGCATGTTAGAACGAGCCGTTTTAGGTAGGCGTGGTTGACTCTTAACTTTTATAAAGAATATCTCTTTGGATTTGAGACTTTAGTCTTTGCGAATTTACAGATCTTCTTTATACACCAAGAGCTTGTAACACGGTCACATGTCACGGTTTGTCTCCAGATTGCACACTTCTCTGAATTTACGCTTTAAAGGGGTCATATGACGTTGCTAAAAAAGAACATTATTTTGTGTATTTGGTGTAAGGAAAATTTGTCTATGCAGTTTAAGGTAAAAAAAACCACATTATTTTCCACATACTGTACATTATTGTTTCTCTGGATTCTGGATCCTCTCTTGACTCCGCTGGTGTAATTACATCTTGCCCATTGGCAGCCAGTATCGCTGGAGCATGTGAATTAACGCTCTCTTTCAATTGCCTCTGGTCCCGCAAGATTGAGGAGTATGTAGGCTTTAGTTTTATCTGGCTTTTCACTGTGGGTTGCTGCGATAAATATGTCGAATTCCAGTTCGAATTTTCTTCTATGTTGCCGTCGAAAATCAGCGGGTCTGGTCGGCAAAATCCTTCGGCCATTGTGTCCTCTTCTATCCTCTTTCTTTGTTGAATATTTTGACTTCTGACACCATGCAGTTTGTTATGGAGACCGAGACTATTTGTATATTGGAGAACAACATGTTTATTAGCTCTCATGTAGAGCTTGCATCACTCAAAACTTGTATATCAAACTTATCTAACCAGCAGGGGGCACTCCAACACAGGAAAGACCATATATGAACATAGCTTGGCTTCCTTAAACACATCTTGACCATATCTTAACTAACTGAATCGTACATCATCAGTTATCTAAAATTAGTACAGATGATCCAGAATGCTGCAGCATTACTGGTCTTCCGCCAACATTGATCCATTCATTCAAATTATTTTTAATTATTTTGTTCATATATTTTTAAAACAGACTGAAACAATGAAAAAAAAAAACACACCCAGCAGTGTCCCTCAGAACTATAATTTAAATAAATGAAATATGAAATAAAAACGACACTGCAAACTGGTGAAAATGGGTATGTAGCAGTAATAGAAAATATTGGAAGAAAAATGGTCCACAAGTAATGGTGGCTCTAGAACGATCTACAGAAATTGAAGTAAGGTGTTACTTATACTTTACACGCAGATGTTCATATCATGACATCAGTACAGCATATTTAACAACAATTAAGATCCAACTTTTGATTTTGTGAATGAAGCTTTTTTGTGAAATTAAGTTAAAGAAGAACCTCAGAGTTAAAGAAGTCAAGTCAAGTCACCTTTATTTATATAATGCTTTTAACAATACAGATTGTCAAAGACATTTGAGACATTGAGAGCATAGGTCGTATTTTAGATATATTTTTGAGATGGAAAAATGCAGTTTTACAAATGCTAGAAACGTGGCTTTCAAAGGAAAGATTGCTATCAAATAGCACACCTAGGTTCCTAACTGATGACGAAGAATTGACAGAGCAGCCATCAAGTGCTAGACATTGTTCTAGGTTATTACGTACGGAGTTTTTAGGTCCTATAATTAACACCTCTGTTTTTTCAGAATTTAGCAGTAAGAAATTACTCGTCACCCAGTTTTTTATATCGACTATGCATTCCGTTAGTTTTTCCAATTGGTATGTTTCGCCGGGCAGCGAAGAAATATAGAGCCGAGTATCATCAGCACAACAGTGAAAGCTAACACTGTGTTTCCTGATGATATCTCCCAAGGGTAACATGTAAAGCGTGAAGAAGAACCACTTCTCAATATGATTAACTTGTCGTTATCTCTAGGTCACGTCCCAAAACCATTCAATACGAATTGATGGCGGTCAGATAATTATGATTTGAACCAAGCTAATGCACTTCCATTAATGCCAACAAAGTTTTCTAGTCTATTCAAAAGAATGTTGTGGTCAATAGTGTCGAACGCAGCACTAAGATCCAATAGCACTAATAGAGAGATAGATAGAGATAGAGAAATGTTACCTTTAGAGATAGAATGAGACATGAAGTGATATATTCTGCCAAAATATAAAAATATAAAGCGATGAAAAGTCATTGTAGTAGGCTAAGTGCATTTTTATGGTTGAGAATTGGTTGAGCTGTTTCTTGAAACTTTAAGTGACTTCAGTGCAGTTCCAGTGGCAACCCCAGTGCCAACGTTTTGAATTTGATGACAAAACATGAGGACATCGTGAATTGATCTGTTATATATTTTCCATGCATTCACATGGATTTGAAAAATCCATTTGAAACCATTAGACATCCTAGATAATTTTCTAATGGAAATTTTCAACGGAGGCAAAAGGTCATTAGGAGACATTAGTCACCACAGGAGGCAGTTTGTGCTGCATGTTATTGATTTGCTGACATTTTTATGGTTTCCTTTAAACTCTTTATTTGTAGTTGATAATGAAGTTACAAAAAACACTTTTATGTTAAGTATGCTTTTATCCCAAAAGTATAGCCAAGTACACATACATATGGTTGAAATGGTGTCAACATTATATTAAAAAAAAATGTAGCCTACTTTTTATTTTACCTTAAACAGAAAAACAGACTAAAGTTGAAAAATCATGAGATATCACAATTGTGTGTATTGTGCAACACTTCTTTCTTCCACTAGCAAAAGCTTCGGTCCAGTTTTTTCAGGGCTCCAGTACAGACTGGTGGCTTGATTCCCTGTAAGAGAATTAAGATTTTTAATTGAGTCCTGTTGATGAGCATGTGCCGTATTTCAGCAATCACAAATGGTACATGTGAAAAGACACACGAGCATACTGTACTTTGTACAAATTGCATACAAGGGTGAAGAGAGTGGACATAGCCTTATCTTCCCATTCACTAGTGCATTCCTGAGGAGAAAAAAAAACATGTAGATCTCAAACGCTCATCACAAATCTTAGTGTCTTTTATTTCAACATAACAGATTCGATTAGTGCAACTGCTCTGCTTTGAGAAGGTCTCACCCCATTGAAGGTGATCCAGGGAACATGAGTGTGTGCTGGTTTGAGCACCTGCATCTTCACTGCATTCTGATGCATCAAACTGTGGCCAAGCTCTCCTCTGGTACAAGACTCTATGGTCTGCCATTTAACAAACGGTGCATAGAGCTGCAAACACTGGCAAAGAAAAAAAAAGACTCATAATGGCTTCTTCGGTCAAACATAATGCTGTAATGAGGGAGAGTAATGTTGGCTCAGAGATGCTTACAGGCTTAGCAGATTTTAGTACATCTGCAGATGACTCCATGCAGTAAATGACAGGAAATGCTGCATGATTGGCTGCATATAAAACACATGCCTATTAAAAAGAAGAAATATTAGGAATGTTAAATAGAGAAAGAGAGAAATCTTTTTCAAATCCACAAAATTAAGTGAGCTGCCTTGCTCTTTTTACTGCCTTCACACAGCATATTCCTGAGGTTTGCTTGTTGCTAAGCTAATAACAAAATACTCAAAACATAATACACAAACACAAATAAAAAAAAAAATCTATTAATATATTTAATCAATAATTTATTATGTAATGACATGTTGACTACGCTACAAATAAAATATACATGTTAGGTAATAAACTCACCTCAACCATGTTAGCATAGCACTCTGGTTCTCCATGTTGACATGAGAATGAATTATCTTCAGGAAGTTCCTTAAATTGCAAGTTAACAGTCATAGACACAAGAAACATCACAACATTTTATCAATTACAACACACAGACTCCTATGAAAGAGCAGAGGTGTACCTTAGCATTGCCGAAGGGCACCAGGTTGACTTTCATTATACCTTTTAGTAAAGTCCATGTTGGGAAGAGTTGCTCTGTTAGGAACGCTCTGCAGCCTGGACAAAGGCTCTCGTAATAGAGAGTGATCTCTACAGGAGGAACCACAGGGTCTGGCCGGGTTGCGTTCAGTTCCATACATTGTTTCCACACCTATTCAGATGCATAAGGAAAGATATTCCGGAAATATTTTGACAGTGCCACCCATAGTTGATTGTTTGCTTCAGTTGCTCTACCAAGGACTGAAATTCTCCAGGAAAGCTCTTTTCATGCTGAGCTAATCAAAATGACCACAGTTGATCACAGTTGAAAGTTAAATGGATTTGTGTGCCATTGAGAAGGTGATTAGCTACACCTGATTGAGTTTATAAGTCATTTTTAGGAGGGGGTGATAATTTTTCCAACTATTTATTTTTATTATTATTATTATTTTTTTTATCTTTAAACTATTTACAGGATGAACTTCTGACCCTGAACTAGGGTTTCACGATAAATCGCATGCGATATTTGTAGCTTGTCAGTGAACAACGGCTCTGTGTAGTAAATGTGAAAGCACGCACATGATGGACATTTACTGCTGATTACAGAACTGGCTTTACTGACAAGATGCGCATTAAATATCGCATGCGATTTATCATGCAGCCCTACCCTGAGCTTAGAGTATAAGAACATACAATTGTAGACATGAGGACCATCATCAAACTCATGATGTGACTCATGGCCTGTTTAATTGGAAGCTGTTTGTGTTCAAAAGCATGACAGTAATTTATAAGCACAAAGAAGTCTTTGAAAGTCATGTTGAGCACAGCTTCATTACAAGACCAGTGTATCTGTGCAATATACTCCATAAAAGTCAATATTCTAAACAGTCAGTAACACTGCAAATTAACATCAAGTACTATATTGCTTTATGCAAGTGAAAACAGATGCATAATTCTGTATTGTAGGTCACCTTAACCATTTTTAAATAAAAAGATCGACATGCCTTGAGATGCAGCAACATTACTCAACAAGCCACAAATCATTACAATCTTGATATTGAGCTGCAGAAATGCCTCTATCATTTAAAGATGGCATAAAAAGAACTTAATTGTTTCAAGACTTAAAATCAACCTCTTAAACAGACTTACCCCACATTCTATGGCAATCTCCAGAGACCTGCACCATTGGGATGGAGGGTATCCACATGAAGGCTTTGGGTGGGATTTACACTGGATTTCATAAACTCTGAGGAATATGACATAAAACACACAGAGCATTAGAGTGTTCATGCTGTTGGTATTTAGAGAGTCCCTGAGCTTTCTGTGAGCAGTATGAGAGCTTGCGTACACTTTACTCCCATGAAAATAGCCTCCAATCAACTGTGAGCAGCTGCAGCTGAACAGACACAACACTCACTGACCTCAGATCAGCAAAGAAAAGCTGCTCATGAGCAAAGAGGGTTCACAACCGAGTGTTGTGGCTTTGTGAATGTCAAAATAATAGATAACTATACATTACTACCTTAATAAAAATCTTGAAATATCTTAATTGTTTGAGTTGGTCATACCAAAACAAATGCCTAAAATCTACAGTTATTACGCATTCCATAATCCATATCTATACTTTTATCTTTAACCACAACTTCAGTTCAATTAACAATCATACAAATCGTTCTTTGATACAGACTGAAGAGTACATGAAATTAAATTTTATTTTGTTTATTTTTGCACACAATTATGATAGTATAAGATCTGTTTGTGTTTAATGGTCTGTTCAATGTTGGGATTTACAGGGGTTTGTGTTATGTTGCTGTTTTTGGGGGTTACCATTTTGAAGAGTAGAGCCTGTGGTTAGGTTGATAATAGGACAAGATACATTAAGACTATATAAACTGCATGTTGCATTTGAGAAATGCATTAAAAACAATAACTGTGCATGTGCCATTGTAGTGAAAGTATGTTAGTTATGTTAGCAATGTATGGGTGCTACTGCCAGCTAATAGTTTGCTGCTATTTGTAATTGTGTCCAATAAACTAAGTTAACTTTATTTTATTTATTTGTTTACCTTTCATTCATAAATTTATTCATTCATTCATTCATTCAGCTGGCTTACTCAAATATTTGAGTTAAATTTAAAGTTTAAATAGCTAATTGGGTCTACTCAGTTTTATTTGTGGAGAGAATGTAGTTATACAGATATAATTTTTTCACGTTTATTGAATTCAAAAGGTATTTTTAATTGATTTTATAGCTTTAAAATTTACTCAATATTTTTTAAGTGTAAACATGTTTTACCAAAAAATCATTTTGTGAAAGCTGGTAAGAAACACCAGGTACAAGCAGTGGTGTAATGTAACGAAGTAATAATACTTCGTTACAGTACTTAAGTATTTTTTGGGAGTATCTGTACTTTACTTGAGTTTTTATATTTCAGCCAACTTTTACTTTTACTCCACTACATTTCCTGATTAAAATGTATACTTTTACTCCGATACATTTCCCCAAAGCATATTTGTTACTTATTACAAAATAGTCATAAGTCAGAAGAACACGGACTGCAGGAAAGCAGGTTTGACGAATCAGTGGTCTGGCGTTTGCAAGTTAGACTCCTAAAAACACCTTTGCTCATGTGCAAACAAGTGCGCGCACAACCACGGATGATTCACTTTCCACTCAAGTCGAGTCTGGGGTGTGTGATATACAGTATATCTTCTGCGATAATATGGTAAGTGTTGTTGTAATGATATGCGTTCTGACATTATCAAGTAGACTATATCACCAAATCACACACAGAGTGCACGCACGTTGATTTATTAGTCTATTAAAACTCAAAATTCTAGGCATTCTAATTTGTATACGGCAAAATGCTTCTGTATGCTTTTTATATTTATATAATTTAATATAGTTAACTTAATCTATTTCACACAAAGAGTACCGTTTTTCTGCAGATATCAGCATGATAACTAATTTTCTGAGCAATGGACGGTGTTTACTTATTGAATGGATCAGCTTTTTGAACGAATCGGTTGATAAAAATGATTAAGTGATTCACTCATTAACACAGTCGAATGCTTTGTTCCTGAATGAATCAGCCGTTTGAATGAATCGGTTGAATCTCAATGACTCACTCATTAACAGTCACCAACTATTTTTTTCATGTTTTATATGTATATCAGTATTCAACATTTTATGTTTTAAAAACAAAACATTAGGCCTATTTATGCACCTGTAACTGCAGTTTAAAGGGGTCATATGATGAGATTTCAATTTTTCCTTTCTCTTTGGAGTGTTACAAATACATATATATATATATATATATATATATATATATATATATATATTTGCTTCTTTTCCATTTACTTGTACTTGTACTTTCAATACGTAAGTACGTTTAAGATTTAAAAAATACTTTTCATACTTAAGTACAATAAATATCACATACTTAGACTTTTACTCAAGTAATATTCTAAACGGTGACTTCAACTTCTACCAAAGTCATTTTCTGGTAAAATATCTGAACTTTTACTTGAGTATGGCTTTCAGGTACTTTATACACCACTGGGTACATCCTAAAACAATGTTGGGCCTCCTCTACACAACTTCTGAGTGTTGAGAGTTAAACAGGGCAAACAATTCCTGCCGCATATTGCAACAACATTACTCCAGCCAGACATGATCATTAGCTATGTGAGCCTATAGAGGTGGGCTGCATGGGCTTTACAGGACGGTCAGTTTTTAAAGTTTTCAGTTGGCTGGGGATTACAGGGGCAGCAAAAAGAACAGCCAAATCCATATGTGAAGCTGCAGAAAGAAAACACTAGGTGGCTTTGGATCAAGAGGGCTGAACCAAGTGCAGTTGCTACTGGGATGCAGATTGGGGCCTGATCAACACCGGCCGGCTCATCTGGGAGAGGGTGTGTGATGTTGAAAGATCCGACACACCCGAGGACCCCAGGGAACATCACTGAAAATGTGTCCCAGTGCAACAACACAATGAATCCCAGCTAACAAAAATAAGTTGACAGAATGTTTTGATAACATTCCCATTAAGTTATGACAACGTTATTTCGGAATGTTTTGTACATGTTGAAAACGTCATTTTTTTTTTTTTAATGTATTAAGAACGTTTTTTTGTGGGGTTTCTGCGAACGTTACAGGAACATTCCATCCTACCATTTTGAAAACATTACGAAAACGTTATTACTGAATGTTCTTTAAATGTTTAAAATGTCCAGTTTGTTTTTCATGTATTAAGGAAGTTTTTTTTTGGTGTATGTGAATGTTACAGGAACATTCCATTCTATCATCTTGAAAACATTATTAGTGAATGTTCTTTAAATGTTTAAAATTTGCATTTTTTCATGTATTAGGAACATTTTTTCTTGGTTTATGTGAACATTATAAAAACATTACATTCTATCATCTTGAAAACATGAAAACTTTATTTCTGAATGTTTTTTAAACATTCAAAATGTCCTGTTTTTCATCTTGTTAGGAAAATGTTAGGAAAAACTGTTTCTGAATGTTTAAACGTTATATAAAATATGCAAATATCCTCCAAACATTGCCCTGGGAACTTTTTGATAAAAGAAATATCAATTCAAACAATAACATTTGATAAAACATTACTAATTATATTTGTCAACACCAAAAACTGTAAGATACTACACAAACATGTTTCATATTTTAATATATTTGATAATTTTCATTCATATTTTATTTGTCTACCTTTTGCCAAGGATAAGTGCACTGTAACATACAGTACATCTAAATGAAAACAATAGCATAACTGATATCTTACTTTACTTTCACTTTTTATATACTCAAACATTCCACAAATTGAAACATTCCAAATCTTACATAACAAAATACATTCTGTGTGTAAAACAACTAATTAAGTGTGGTCTATGTGTCTTCTTTTCCACAAGTCTCTGCTTCGGGCTGAAGTGACACCTTAGATTGCAGCATCTATATAAACAAAACATAGTATTAGTATACAGTATATTCTGTATTAAATTTGCATTGTTTTCTTTATAATTTTTTTTTACAAACTACAAAAACTACAAAAGCCTTACCTTATCTCTGTGTGGTGCAAACTTCAGTGTTTCTGATATGAAGTCCTCAATTACTTTTTCCAGCACATTAGTGTGTGTTCGACGACAGGCATCTTAAAATCCAGTTAAGATACACAAAACCCAAACATGTTACTGTTACTTACAATAAATTATGATTACAGTATGTACAATACACTGCTGATTTCCTCAATACCTCATATGCAGTCTTTGGCATAGCTTGCTCTGAAAATAGAATTTGTCTTCAGCGACTTACTATAAAATGTTTGGAATAAGAAACAACTGAGAAACAACTCACGGATTATGACATTACATATTTCCAGTTCCTGGAAATTCTTCTTTCCCTTGCGGCCTTTAAAGGGGTCATATGATGCTGCTAAAAAGAACATTATTTTGTGTATTCGGTGTAATGAAATGTGTTTATGCGGTTTAAAGTAAAAAAAACACATTATTTTCCACATACTGTACCAAAACGTAGAATTAGTATACAGTATATTCTGTACTAAATTTGCATTGTTTTCTTTATTAATTTTTTACAAACTACAAAAGCCTTACCTTATCTCTGTGTGGTGCAAACTTCAGTGTTTCTGATATGAAGTCCTCAATTACTTTTTCCAGCACCTTGGTGTGTGTTCGACGACAGGCATCTTAAAATCCAGTTAAGATACACAAAACCCAAACATGTTACCGTTACTTACAATAAATTATGATTAAGCATACAGTATATACAATACACTGCTGATTTCCTCAATGCCTCATATGCAGTCTTTGGCCTAGCTTGCTCTGAAAATAGAGTTTGTCTTCAGCGACTTGCTATAAAATGTTTGGAATAAGAAACAACTGAGAAACAACTCACGGATTATGACATTACATATTTCCAGTTCCTGGAAATTCTTCTTTCTCTTGCGGCCTTTAAGACTATATTGGGCCCATAGAGCATTTGTCCTGAGTTTTCTAAGTAGTCTTCTGACCGACTCCCCAGGCGTGTTGCCTCCCATGAGGCTCAGCCAATCGATCTGAAAATAAATGTAATGCTATATTATGCTGCACAGCAATAACTAACAGCAATATCTGAACCAAGAAAAATAAAACTGTGTGCATCATTATATAAAATAAAATGGAAAACACAGGGTTGCTTTGGTGTTTGGTTTGTTGTGCTGTGCTTAGCCCACTACACCACTCCACCTCACCAAAGGCCACACACAGCTGGAGTTACAACAATGCATATGACACTGTGTTCCAAGTTAATTTTACACAGAATAGGCCACAGTGACAGACTGCTACGTTTAAAGAGAGGCAAATCATCAACATGC